CATAAAGCATTCATAGAAAAGCTATGATAAAGTTACTCAAAATTTTGCAAAGCAAAAATTAAATAATCTGAGAGCATAGCTCAGTATCATCACTCAACTTGAGATTTGATCAACCAGTTTATCTTTTCAATTTTATCGACCGGCTAGCAAGTGACAATTAAACATTGAGAAAAAGTTTCAATTCAAATTGCTAACTACCAAAAAGAGGCACTCAAGAGGTATGAATAGGTATGAAAAGGGCTCAAATTGCTAACTACCAAAAGGAGCCACCAAATTGCTAACTACCAAAAAGAGGCACTCAAGAGGTATGAATAGGTATGAATAGAGCTCAAATTGCTAACTACCAAAAGGAGCCACTCAAGAGGTATGAATAGGGCCTTTTTGAATTTAATGCGGGTATTCATACCATTTCTTATGTTATTGATGCTATTTTCTTCCAAGGTCTAAAGTAACGAAACGCAATTCAAATGGCATTTAAATGCGTATATTCTTGACTGTACAGTATTGAAAATATAAAGTGAATGTGAATATTTTTAGATCTGTCATTCTTTAGGCCGCAAACTGTATTTTCTTAGAGCAGCCCTTGCAAGGGAAACACAGTTTATATTGTCAACTTAAATAAGGGCACCGTACGAAAAGGCATAGGCTGGGATTCAATAAGCTATCAATGAATTTTGATAAAGAAACAAATACTTAGATATATATATATATATATTTACAAGTATGTATTAATACATGGTACGTTTACAATGGTTTTCATTGAGTTTGAAGTATGTATATGCTTGGTGTCATTGGCTTTGCTTGCAAAAAATACCCTTGCAAAAAATTATATAGAATTTTAGGGAAGATAAGAAGGGTACAAGCAATAAAATAGGGTTTAATACGAAATATGTGTTCTTAAAAGAATAGGAAGAAAGCAGAGAAGAAGATTTCTTGAACGTGCATTTTGTTGTAGGGAGCATGCTTGAAAGTTGAGTGTTGTGATTCGGATTTTGATGAAACAAAAGTAAAGTTTTGATGAAACCTTTGAGGTTATGCTTTTACTTTATGAGTAGAAAGTTTAAATGGACAAAATATTTGTTTATAAAGTCATGCAAACAGAACCAATCTGATATTTTATTAAAATCCAATTGTTCTAATTAATTATGTTTCTCCTCAGGTTTGTATGACAAATTTTTATGTAATCTGCCCTTGAATTTGCAGGTGCCACAGAAATGTACGTAAAATGCCCTAATAAAGATATAAGAATCTGCAACAAAATAATAAACAAAAACTCAATTAAAATGGAATGCCTAGAAATAGATTCAGCAGCTTTAGAACCGATGTTGTCAGTTTTTGGAAACAATGCATTTAAAGCTCCATCTCTGTAGTTATTTCTATCTTATAACAAAGCTGAGAAGGGTTGATGTTGAATACTTAAAACACACTGACTATGATTATAAGTACGAGCTAAAACATAGCAGAAGGCTTCCTTTAACAATTACACGAGTCAAGGCAGTAGTTTATCTACATATGTAGAAGACATGCTAGTGATGTCACAGTTTATACAAACAGTATATGATGTCTTATTCTGCAACATCTCAGCGAAAATTTCTGCACTTAACAAATAGGTTTCCTAAAGATGACGGTATTATCAAATGAAGTACAAGACATGGAACTGCATCTCTATGTCATTCCTTTGCTGTCATTATTATGTTTGCTTTTGCATTGGGTAACTAGACTGTAAATTCATTTTTTCGTGGTTATGAGACAGACGATTAGACAACAGTAATCTGAATATTCAGATATCATATTTACAGTAAATATTATCCAAAATGTAAACATGCTTGCAAATTTTAAACAGTTTCTTTCTTCTAAATGTAAACAGTCAGAATAATATTCGTTAATGGAAATATATGGGAGCAAACCTAGTGACTTCAAGCTTTCATAGCCACTAATTGTTTGCTGTAGCAATCAATGGTTCCGGGACACTAAACAAGAAAACTTTATCACAGATATTTTGTTACATCTAAAGGCAAATAGAATACGCCAAATGGTTAGCCAAAAGACGTTCAATGTATTTCAGAAGACAAAATAATAATTAATCGGTCTTAATAGATTCTGTTATTTAATAAAGATTCGTAAATAATTTTTTAATTGTCGTTGGATAAATATATTTTAAAACTTGAATATCCAAAGAATTTAAAGAGAATGAATTTACTTATTATTTCACTTTGTTTTTATGCATTTTGTAATGGCGCTAGACAGCCAACATTGCATGCTAACAAAGCATTCGACCATCGATTTGGAAACTTCGAAGTTTTGGTAAGCGCAGATGGAAAATTTTGCAAGAAAATCATTAAACTTAAAAGAATTTGAAGCATTTTTCGGCTAATGAGTTATGTTAAGTTTAATTGTTTCACTGATAGATCGTGGCTATGGAGACAATTAATATAGTGTTTAGTTAAATGAAGTGTCTATTCAAATGCAGGCTTTAAGAGAAGCTGTTGCGGAAAATACAATAACTTGAAATGAATACAGCTGATCAGAAGAATATTTTCAAATTAAAATATATGAGACATTTTTATCTTACTGTTTGCCAATGTTAATAAAAATTGGGCTTAACATAAATTCAGTGTGCTTGTTGCTACGAACTGATATAGGCACTGGTATATTTACCCTAACATAATTTGAAATAATGTTAACATTAGATCTTTTGAAATAAAATCTGTACTGCTATACTTGAGGAAATCGATTACATTTATTTGCAGCTAAGTATTGTCTTAAAATTAAGTGAAATATTGGTGAAATGTTTTGTATTTTATGATAAAAGTGACATTTGAGTTATATTATGGATGCAAGTACAAACGATAGCGCAAATAAATTTAAGTATATCTTTAATTAAAATTTGATGCAATTTTACCTGTTTGAAATGAAACTACACAGAATATGTCTGAGTTTATCTTTTCTTCTTAGAAGTCATACTAAGCAATCTTAAATAGTCAATCTAGGCATGGTTCTGGAAGAAGTATGCTGAAGAATTATGGCTGACGACGTAAGCCAAAGACCCAAAAACAGTCACAATTTTCAAGAATATCTAGAAATTACTGAAAAAAGCGAATAAATTCATACACTAAAATGCACTTGTTGTGCAAATAAATATAAGGAGATTCAGAAACATTCTAAAAGGGGTCATCAAATAGGAATAGATGTTGACAGACTTCTGATATTCTAAAAACAGCTACTGCTTGTAACTAGACAGGAAAATTTTAAAATCCACCAACAGCTTTATGTTATTTTAACTATCAATAATTCTTAGTTTAGTGAAAAAAATAAAAGTATGATCATACAATGCCAGCAAAAATTTCCCGAGGAGCAAAGAATGGAAACATTTTAGACCATAGAAGATGACAAAATGTTTGATCTTTATGAAAAGTTCTTCTTATCAAGCATAATGAGTTTTGAAGAAAAATGCAATGGATAAGTCACTATTTGCAGAAAAAGACTAGCAGTGACAGAATAAACTGGCTTTATAAAGAGCTTAGAATAACCGGTGCATGTGAAAATGGCACATTGTGTTTTGAAAGTGAATTCATTTAGACTGCCTTTGAAGTATCAGGAATGTCAAGGTCCTTGCACGTGAGCGTTTAAACATCCCACAAAGCGAATCCATAAAATAAAGTAACTCAGCTCGCTTAATGTACAGCAAAGGTCTTCAATTTAGAAATTGCTTTTTACATTTTGTAACCAAAGTTTTTTTCGCTAAAGGCGTGAGCCCATACTTGATTGAAAATTAAAGTTGCTTGAAGTCAAACAAGGTTAGAAAAATTTAAAAGTTTTCAAAACATCGATTGTGTTGATATACCTACCAAGTGTTCGTTAGATAGCATGTTTCAGAAACTGCGCCAAAATTTTACAAAAAATTTGCGTTAAAAAGCAAAAATCATTCCAGTTGTTTTTCAAGACGAAAGGATGCCATACATATTTTTTTTCGGTATCAGGCACTTTACTGTTGTAAGATTCGTCATAATTTTTCAAAATTTTGTCGAAGGCAGTGCAGCTATTTTCTAGATACAAATGATGACGTTTCTGCAAACTTGTTTTTTTCTATTATACCTCTATTATACTTCAAAGGAAAATCAGTAAAAAAAGAAACAAAGCTGAAGTATAATGATGCTCGAAGTCTACAGTTCTTAGTTAACTGCATAAGAAACCAGTTGAAGGTAGATCAAGATAAGCAAATTAAGTTTATGAACCAATATGGTGTACATACTCTACGCTATCTTCGTGCATTTTACTGCCCTGATATGCAGTATTTGTGTGCAGAATATGCAGTATGTCCTTTACCAGTATTTGTGAGGATAGAGAGCAGACATTTTCATGCAGCCATTTTGCAGAAAATGCTATTTTCAGTGAATTATTACGAGCAAAGAAAGGTTATTTTCGAAAAGCAGGAATTTTTTATAGATTTCGAAAGACGGGCTCAGAATTATCCAAACTAAGCATGAAAATTATGCTCAAAAAGAACGATTCACCGTCAAAATTCGACGTGGTATCGCATGACAAAACATTAGGACATTTTTCAAAATTAATTTAGAAAAGGCACTTGATGACTTTTAAGGAAATTACAGCTAGACTTTCAAGATCGCCTAAGTTTCATTTAGATTGCTTTCAGCTATGTTCGGTAATAAATTTTCTTGCAAATCCCACATAAGAACATTGCTAGATTAAGCGACGATTTGAGGTCAATATGGCTCTCAATGGCCATGATGACAAAAAGGAATCTCTTCAAAGACGTGAAAAGTTTCTGTTTCACAGAGTAAGCAAGATAGCAAGAAAATCAATGATAACGAAACATCAGGTACTAGAAATAAAATTTTCAATAATTTTTTGAACTTTTGAAGCACAAAATCAATGCTTTTGGCTTGAATGGCATAATACAAGGCATGTTGGCTCGCAAAAATGGAAGGCCGATTAGAAGATCTCTAAGCAAACAAAGGATAATGTGAAGATTTATTTACCTTTTTCTGACTTCTTCTGCGCCAATGACTGCTTTTTCGCTGCCTTGGCGTCTGCTGAGCTTGGCTTTTTTTTCTCTTTCGGAGCTGGCCTAAGCAGAGCACAACTACTCCTCGTTTCAGATCTCTGCGGCAAACGTGATGACAAAGTGGACTCCGTTGCTTGCAGCCAGGAACACAGCTCTCCTAGTGCTTCATCCGAATGCCGTCTCCATTGCCAATCTCTCCGTTGAGTTGCTTCTTGATATGGTGCATTGTTATACATATACCGGCTACAGCTTGCAAAATTTCGCTGGTTCTGTCGCGCTGTAACAAGACCTATTGAAGAATTCTGGCTTACCATTGACTCAAGTTGATATATGGGGTTAGAAGTACCCAAGCTATTGAATGCTTGATTTATTGGAGAATAGTAAGCATTAGATTGGCTTTCGTGTCGCGTTCTTCCCCAGAATGAGCAGTGAGACAAATTATCGTTATAGCCCATAGAGTACATGTTTAGCTCAGCTTTTCTGCTAGCGCGCACAACCCGCGCCTTTTTATGATAATGCTTCAAAAAGGTACTCGTATTCACATAAGTCTTGCCGCCTGGGCCACTTTACATGAACTCGCAGATTACCATTTGCAGTAATTATTCATTTCTTCGAATAATTATGTGAGCTTCTAGAGTATCTCATTGGCTATTCCCAGATTTATGACAATGTCTTGACGGAAACCTGAAAGTGAAGCCAAGGCCTACCGAAAACCACGACCACAGGTGGGTAAGGCGTCGATTGAAATATAACTGAACCGTCCTTATATAAGTAGGTGCTACTGTGGAGGAGCATAATGTGGAGGAGAATACACAGCTCCATTTAAGGCATGGTACCTGATCAGAAAATAGCCTTTGTTTTGAAAAGTCAACGGGCACAAGCAAAAGTGCTTGTTGGGTAATATTACGATCACTGTTGCTAACTATAACCCTTGAACGGCGATACCTTTGTATAAAATAGCGGCAATCCGTTCACTCATATTCACATAGCAACATGATCTGAGTAGCGGATTAGAATTTGGCTAAAGAGTCCTAGAAATCCATGCGATAAATAATAATCAACTTTAAGATTCTCTAAGCAAATAGTAACATTTTCTCTTGAGAAACTATTTAGCAACGGATTGCTTGAAATCTTGAAATCCATCTCAATTTTTTTCAATTTCAATTTCTTTTTTTCTATTTCCGATACCTATTTTAATTTGTACTACAATGTGTAGCACGAAATGGCAGAGCAAGCCATTGAGCTGTAGAGAAGTGAATCTACAAGCTATTAAGTTTATTATGAACGTTTAGGAAACCAAAAAATGATTATCCGTTATCAACTAACAAATTAATTCGTAGCTCACCTACACGATATCGTGGCTTTCTCCATCTTCCATACACAACCCCGCATCCTAGCTAGTCATCACAACTGGCTTGCAAACCTATGAATATAAGGAAAGACACCAAAACGAACATCAGAAATACCCGAGGCACTTCGTTCAAGCTAGTAAGTGATTAACAATGTCATTTTGAATGTCAGTAAGTGGCGATAAGTTTGAGAATGGTTGTTTTTGGCTCATTAGGTAATTTTCGGAAAGTTTCCTAAAGATAAGTTGATTGATTTATAGCCCTTTAAAGATCTAGTGAGCTAAACGAATCTCTCTTTCGTGGTAAATTTGGACGCGTTAAATTTATAGCAGATCAGGCATCTTTTAAGAGCGCTATAACATCTACAGGAAGTGCGGATACGACAGTAAAATCTAAACACTATGGAATGAGTCTCGCAAAAGCACTTAGGGCTTTAAAAGCTTGTTTTTTCTAAAGACCATCGAAAGAAAGCTCAGACCCTGAAGTAAAGCCTGAGATAAACTGGAGATGGATACTAGAGATAGGCATTGTGCTGGACAATCATTCAAATATTTTCATCCCCCCTTCCCCTTTGCTACTATCTATCAATCCCCTCTATCTTCCAGGTATCGAGCGATCATTTTGCAGGGTAGCGTTGTATGGATTGGATATAATAAAATCAAAAAACAAAATATAATCTGACTTGTCATTTTGCACATAAATTATGTAATCAATTATAATTCTACCACATTGAAGAGCAATTCCAACCATAGCAGCTAAGCTCATTGTAAACAAATCAAAAGTGTTCGTAGTGAAGTAATCAGTACATATGAAAAATCCCTTATTAAAATTTGATTTTCAAAGCCTTTTTTCTTTTGTAGGGTAAATGTTAAAAGATAAAACTTGTGTTTTCTTGAATGAATTAAGGGATGCTATGTACGCTACGTCTAGCAAATTCCCTTTGACTCAGGACTGCTGCAAGCTCTTCTCAAGTACTGAGAAAAAGGTACTTGATTTTATCAATTCATTCAAAAAGGGTTTAATTCAAATTTTTAGTTCTATACGAAGAAACAAAATTCAAATTGAAACGAGAACGGAGCCTAATTATTGTATATAATCATAAAAAGCCTTAGGCCCTGTGAGATGTTTTCTTAAAGCCTTTTATTTTATAAGAATTCCTTTGTTTTTCGTCTTAGATGTTGAACTTTATTATTGACAGTTCCATCTAGCTAGTTAAATATCTTTTATTGATTAATTGACCACTTTTGTGGCCATTGTTATATTTTGATCCTTATTAATGAAGGGAAACCTAACATGGTCGTCCTACGAATGTTATTTTCAGGACTAATTTTCTAGATTGAAGGGTCTTGAGCACCAAGCATGCATTGCAGTAGATGTTATTTTTCACGTGACGAAATGGGCTGTATTTCTTTTCATGCAGAACGATATTAAAAATAATCTGGATTCTGATAATATACTCGCAAAACATGTTGGTTTTGCAATAACCTTTAAGGTTCTACTAGTAGTTACTGCCCGAAGCGTACAGGAGAGGAATGCAAAGGCTGCTCTGAAATCCCTTAACGCCAATGGGAAAAAAAGTAACTTGCATTTGAAGTTAATTAACAAATCATGCAGGAGGAAGTTCAGGTCCATTATGCATCGCACGAATTGTCACACTTGCTTTTGTCCAAAGTAGCAGCAACAAGATTACACTCCTGCTTTACATTTTACATTTAAGTTATATTACTTACATTAAAGATTTTTCTATATTGGCCCATCATAAATGTCCTTGAGCCGCACAATCTACAAAATAAGATTCTTAACACAGGAGGAGAGACATTCAATTCAAAACCACACTTTAGTAAAGGTTATTAACATATTTTGTCGAACGGTCTCTTCATCATATTTAAGATACATTTTAAAATATTAAGAACCGTAAGCTTAAGAAGTTTTGCTTCTTGAGAAGTTCAAGTTTTGCCTTTTCAAAAAAATCTAATGATTTGTATTACCGGAAAATCAAGTTTCACAAACACTATTCTATCAACACTTCAAGAAAAATTAATTTAAAAAGTGTTATTAGATGGTTTGATTTAAATAGATTATGATTTGCTTTTCTGTTTGTTTGGTTGATTTTCCAGTCGTACATCTGTAGCTAAATATCTACTTTATATGTTAACTGACTTATTTCAACGAGGAAAACTAAAGAAATTAAAAGAAAAAGGGATTGTTCCAAATATTTGCAGGACTTGAAGTTTTAGCGTAAGACATTACAGTAACATAGAAGGCAACGAGGAATCATCCTGCATGTGAGAAGGCAACTGATACTTTAGTCGTGAGAAAAAGTAAAGTAAAGCATGTTAAAGTAAAAAAGTCTTTCAGAAGTTATCGCCTGTCACTGATCGGCAGTGAAACAAAACTAAACAATGCAAACATTACTTTCTTAAGTATTTAGGATACTTCTTAGTTAGTAATGGTTTAATGTGCGGTTAAATCATAATCATTTATTTAATCTAAAGTGTTTGCTTTGCGATTTATATGTTGTTGAATAGAAGATCGGTTTTAAAACGTGCCAATTATAAGCGTATGAATCAGGCAGATATGACATGGTCATCAGAACTCGATAGCCACGATAATGCCACGACAGGAAGCATGCCCAGACAACTATAGGGAAATGCTTGGGTTTCCTAACCTAGCTATACCACAGAACTCTTGAATAATAAAGTTTCCCGAAGGGTTTTTGTAAATGGAAATTTCAACAACCTAAACTGTCGACGAAAATTGAAAACAGGGGGCAGAAAGGGAAGATAAAATCAGAAACGATGATAGACAGGCAGAGACAAGAAGAGAGAAAGGAGAAAAAGTTGAATGTGGAGGTTAACGGGTGGTATTGACAGTGAAATATCAGTTGAAATTGTTGGAAATTGGTGAGACTAGTCTTTTGTAGTTGTTTTGGCTCTGTTCATAAAGCTTTGAATAGAGATCAGTAACATATGAAAATAATTTCACACATTTGGAAGTATTTCACAATGTTCTTACAGGCTATGTGATCCAGTTCAAATAAATTCGAAGAATAGATTATTGTGATATCAGCATTAAAAAGCCTTACAATACAGATTATTTCAGCTCTAAATACGAGTCTAAGGATGATAACTTGGCGATGGAGCGGAAAAGCACTTGCCAATTCCAAAACATGGCTGTGGATGGAAATAATCCAAAAACAAAGACCGTGACATATAAATGGCTTTGCCTTTATTAATCTGTATAGAGTGGCGTTATTTTTAGAGTGACAGTTCTTGGAGAGCTACAATTTCTCCCCGCTACCACTTACTCTTCTGCTTCTATATTGTGGGGTGCAATTGTGGGATATCACATCCCAAAAAATTATTGTCTTGATCCAAGGAATAAGGTCAACAGAGAAGACTCTTGATAAAAAATGTGAAGTTTTGAAGTTATTCTCGGTGATCTATCCCTTGTTATTTGCTATAACAAACAACATCCTTTGAAAGAAATTTTTTTTAAATCTGTGATCATTAGATGGGTCTAATGCATATTGTTTCAGTGACAAGTTCTTTTTATGCTAAATGGTTTATTAGACATTAAAAAACCCCAGCCAGGGTCCATAGTTTGTCATCAAGATACCGTCCTGTTGTTGAAACATTATCTAATACAGACAATTACCATCCTTTGCAGGACAACCTTCCGGCAGACGGGGACATCCTGGTATCAAATTAGCTTCCACTATTAGCACATGAGTTAATTCGGCTGAATAATTAGTGTGCCTTTTTTTAACCTAAGTGAATTACTCATGATAAAACAATGTCCTTTGAATTAAACGGCAAATCAAAGACCTCAAGTTGTTTTCTAGTTGTCTTGACGAATTTGGGTCTTAAGGTAAACTTGAGTCATTTTTTTTTAAGAAACAGTGTCGTCTAACATCACTTGAGTAGCAGGGTCCTTTAACAGCAAATGAGAAGCATTGTCTTGACCAATTACGGCTTTCTTACTGCACTTGAGAGTGGAGAAGCTCTATCTTGATGAATTAGCGTCGTCTAACATCAACGGTGTGGGTCTGTCTTGACGAATCAGTGTCATCTAGTATTACCTGAGTTGCTTTGTCTTGACGAATCAGGGTCCTCTAACAGCAAATGAGAAGCATTGTCTTGACCAATAACGGCTTTCTTACTGCACTTGAGAGTGGAGAAGCTCTATCTTGATGAATTAGCGTCGTCTAACATCAACGGTGTGGGTCTGTCTTGACGAATCAGTGTCATCTAGTATTACCTGAGTTGCTTTGTCTTGACGAATCAGGGTCCTCTAACAGCAAATGAGAAGCATTGTCTTGACCAATTACGGCTTTCTTACTGCACTTGAGAGTGGAGAAGCTCTATCTTGATGAATTAGCGTCGTCTAACATCAACGGTGTGGGTCTGTCTTGACGAATCAGTGTCATCTAGTATTACATGAGTTGCTTTGTTTTGAATAATCAGGGTCCTCTAACAGCAAATGAGAAGCATTGTCTTGACCAATTACGGCTTTCTTACTGCAGTTGAGAGTGGAGAAGCTCTATCTTGATGAATTAGCGTCGTCTAACATCAACGGTGTGGGTCTGTCTTGACGAATCAGTGTCATCTAATATTACCTGAGTTGCTTTGCTTTGAATAATCAGGGTCCTCTAACAGCAAATGAGAAGCATTGTCTTGACCAATAACGGCTTTCTTACTGCACTTGAGAGTGGAGAAGCTCTATCTTGATGAATTAGCGTCGTCTAACATCAACGGTGTGGGTCTGTCTTGACGAATCAGTGTCATCTAGTATTACATGAGTTGCTTTGTTTTGAATAATCAGGGTCCTCTAACAGCAAATGAGAAGCATTGTCTTGACCAATTACGGCTTTCTTACTGCACTTGAGAGTGGAGAAGCTCTATCTTGATGAATTAGCGTCGTCTAACATCAACGGTGTGGGTCTGTCTTGACGAATCAGTGTCATCTAGTATTACATGAGTTGCTTTGTTTTGACGAATCAGGGTCCTCTAACAGCAAATGAGAAGCATTGTCTTGACCAATTACGGCTTTCTCATTGCACTTGAGAGTTTAG